GTACTTCAAGACTTCTAGGATTCAATTTTTTCTGAGTATCTTCAAAAACTTAAATAATTAAATCGGCTTCCGGCATTGATTTCAGATAAGAATGGTCACACAAAACATTATTAAATTTACTTGTTAATCCTTTTTCTTCACCAAATCCCTAAAGTATTTTTAATTATTAGTGAAAAGTACAGGACTATACATCTAAGCCAAATATTAATGAAATAAGCTCTAAATTTGCTTTATATGCATTTATTTTGCCTTCAGACATTACGAAGTTCTGAAATGCCTCCACTAAAAGAAATTCAACGTATTTTTAAATTTAAAATACATGGTAATGATTGAGTGGTCTCTGATCTATAATTGTTAGTAAAGTTTAACTAACAGCTCAGTCGTAAATGTATAAAAACAATTATACCAAAATTCATTATAGAACATCTTTTACGTCCTGGAACTCTAAAGTTACTTAACGTATTAACCACCTTTAAATTGACTAGCATAATATATATGTGGAGTTCAAAGACCCCCTTATGATTTACAGAAGTCCAGATTTATTAATAAAAGTTCCCCCATTATCTTCAGTTGCTTTTATAGCTACCCTAAGAGGGGAGGAGTACTCGAAAGAAAAACCCATTAAGACGTTTGTCTATGGCACATAAACACGTGTTCTAAGAGTGGTCTCACTAGCTTATAAAAAGGGGTTATGAGACGGTGCCCTGTGGATCTCAAAGAGGGGTAGGACAGGAACACAAAATCCGATCCCAGATTTGTGTTTAGCGATTCTGAAAGCATGGGTTACTTTTCGGACGCAACATGGCTGCCTTTTGTTAACTCTTGGTTCGGGGGCTGCGCCGTATAGATAATATATAGTTGGAGCACCACGAGTCGGCATGTTAAGTTTTATCCTGCTATCTGCAAAACTGTGGTAATAGTTTGCGGACAACCAAACACAACGTGAATTCATACAGAATAACACATGTTACAACTTAATTAAGATTATGCAAATGATGTCTTCTTTATCACGCTTACATAGAATAATGAATTTATTTATAGGTATTCCTGATTCACCTCGAAAAATAGAGATAAAAAGCGTAGAAGCCCGAAGTATCACGTTATCATGGTCTGAACCGTTTGATGGAAATAGACCCATCTGTAAATATATGGTTCAATATAAACGAGGTTAGTTCTGCCTGTAAATGTATCGTTTATTTCACACAAAGTCTTTGCAAAGAATGTGTCACCATGCACGTATGGGTTACTTTTTTTTTCATCAATACATTTGTCTATTTCGTATAAGTAAGTTCTGTTCATAAATATGTGCATCATTAAATACGTGTTACTTCTGTCTGTATGTATATATTTTAGATAAGGGAAATCTTGTAAATAACATTAATTTCATTATGCTAAGGGTAATTCTATCTATAAATTAGTCATCTATTTTAAGTAAGGTCGTGTCCATAGAAATACAGTTTATTAATTTTAAAGACATAATATTGTTTACTTTAGTTAAGGAAATACTTTTATTTAAACGCTTTATTAAGTCCTAGTTAGTCCATGGCCAGGTGGTTAAGGCACTCGACTCGTAATCTGCGGGTCGTGGGTTCGAATCCTCGTCACGCCAAACATGCTCGCCCTTTCAGCCGTGGGGGCGTTATAATGTGACGGTCAATTCCACTATTCGTTGGTAAAAGAGTAGCCCAAGAGTTGGCGGTGGGTGGTGATGACTAGGTGCCTTCCCTAGTCATCACTACTAAATTAGGGACGGCTAGCGCAAATGCCCCCGTGTAGCTTTGCGCGAAATTCAAAAACAAACAATCAATCTTTGAGTACGTTTTGTCTTTAAAATAAATAAGGCTTTTCCATAAACACGTAATTCATTAAAAAATACTTTATAGTGAGACCCGTAATGCCATCCATCTTAAAACGATTAGACTGATCCATAAATTCCATCATAAGCTATATAATTCTGTCGACCTAGTCGAAGATCGTTGAATCAATTCTAAAATATTCAAGTTATACTTATAAGAATTTTCTTGCCAATAATAAAGACGACTTGTGACCTTGCATCAGTAAGACAAGATGTGAAATATTGGACAAGTGGTCTGAGTTTTCCTACACTATAATATTCAAACATTCTTCAACAAAACTATTTTTCAGCAATAAATATAGCCCAGGAAATTGAAAAAAACTCGAAAATTTTAAAAGTGGATTTTTTTCCTAGATCTATATATACATGAGTTTCCGGCATGGCTAGCACGTGTTGTTAAATGTTAATTGTTTTATTTAATGGAAATTACTTTTGTCAAAATAATGAATTTTCAGTTAAATCTAAGTGTTGTGAAAATCATTAACTTGTAGTGAAATTACAATAGCTTATTTCAAAAGAAGCGATTTGTAATAGGATGCATTAATATACTTTTAAAATCGTATTCACTCCATAAAGAACGAGATATTTTTATGTCACTCCAAGTTAACCGCAGTTGGAAGCATTGTATTTTGTACAAGTCTTTTTTTTTTCACATGACGCGATAAAGATTTTAATGATGAACATTTCTCATAGAACAACCAGTCAAACTTTATCAGTTTTATATTAAATTAGCGTAGCGTGGTGATATCATAACCCTTGTGAACAATACTGAGATTTTAAACGTTCTGGAATTTTCCAAATATTATTAGAAATTGCCTGATAAATTTTCGTTGTATAGATACCCAAATCAGTAAAGCAACCAAGATTAGTTTAATCAGTCACTTCATTCTTTCCTCCATCCACCTTTTTCCCACCATTCATTATATATTTTTTACTATATATGAAAAAGCTACTTAAATAACGTGCTACTTCTGTCGTTTTGTGATTACTAGAAGAAAGTGTTGACCAACAAGTGGAGGAACTAGTTCTAGAATCAGATCAAAGAGAGATCACCATCAGAGACTTGCAGCCTTTGACTCGTTATCACTTCACTTTATATGCAGAGAACGATATCGGAAGAAGTCAGTCAAGTGATGTGGTTTCCGCTACAACTGATGAGGAAGGTAAAAAATAAAGTTGTGCAATAATTTATTTTCTTTGGATATTTTTTGCACTTCAGGACTGATTGTAATAGCAAAAAGAAATATAAGAAAAAAAAGTATAAAATCCTTAAGATAATAAGAATATAACATAGTTAAATATCTTGACATTGTTTGGGTAATCAACAGTATTTATTTATTTTCAGCACCACAGGATCCACCCGAGAACGTTAAGATTATAGAAACAAGTTCCCGCAGTATAAAAATATCATGGAAGGTACTATTGTTATATAGAATAAAATATTCACCCGTTCATCTCCATTCCCGAGTTTGTTTTTCATTCTTAATGGTGAACATGAAATTCGAATGATTCAGTTGGCACAAAAGTATGGATATCTATCTGTCGTGTTTTGCATATTATCTGTAGCTCTTACGGGACTTGTGACGTATGCACTTAGATATATAACTATATATAGAGTTAAAAATTATAACAGAATAAAAAATTATTCTTGAAGTTTTTGTTGTAGATGCTTGAAGAGTGTTCCCGAATTTCTGTTTTTATCTGTAGTTATAATATTCACAGTGTTACGCTTTGTGGTGTGAGATTCTAAATAGAAAAGTTCGAGTACCAATACAAATAAAATGATAAAATTTATAGCGTTATTGAAATATTTACAATGTACCTTAAATAAAGTAAAGAGCTCAAAAATCCCGGTTTTATTCGATCTACAGGAGTGTTTGTTTGTTCATGTACACGCAAATATCGAGATTAAAGAATATTTTTTTAAAAATATTCTCTATATTGTAAGATCCTAACTCTTTATAAATAGACAGACGTGCTAGCTCGTGAGATAGACATTCCCACTTCTAGCAACAGATCTGTAGATACAAGATTATCTAATATTGTTTCATAGTTTTTACTCTTTTTGAACAAAAAATGTATATTAAGAGAAAATTGAAGAAGCTTTCTAAAATAAAACACGGAATAATCTTCGCACTTACATGCAACCCAGGAAAAATAGAAATAGCAATAATTATAGTATTTGTGTGATTATAAATAAGTTACTGAGCAAATCAAAATTGAAAATTACTGCATAATATGAAGTAAGATTTTTGTGCTTTCAGTTTCTCGTATATCTTTTATAGACTTTTTCGTCGAAATCTGAGCGCAGTAGAATTAAAGGATTTTATGTCGGGTATCGAATCCACGACTCTAATAACCCCTACGTGTACAAAACAGTAGAACAGGGTGTTAATATGGAGCAAATAGATGGACTACTCTCGGGCAGGACATATGGTATAGTAGTTCAACCTTTTAATGCGAAGGGAGCTGGCCCTGTGAGCAAAGAGGTCCTTGCGCAGACTTTGGAGTTTGGTAAGTCTAGACTTAAAATATAACTTTAATAATAAATTTACAAATTGTGAACTATAACGATCAACAATATTCGCATTGCAATTGCAATTAATAGTTGTAAGTCAGGTATTATTTTTTAACGTAAAACTATGAGAAATAAAATGTTTATTGATTGTTACAAGAAAACAAATCGTGAAACTCCAAAATATAGGTATAATAATGGTTGGAGACGGCTTGAATGGGTAATGAAGAAAAACTTTAATA